AACCAAGAAAAAACACAAACACATACAAACTGAACAAGATATTCCAGGAACATCCAATGTATTGCAATGAATGTTAGCGAATAGAAACAGAAAAGAAAAATCAATCCAAGCAAGTAGTTCGTACTAACCATTGCGAGTTCTCTGGCATGTATTGGTCGAGTAGAGCGAACGGTCACTGGTTCTTCAAATTCACTGAATGTAAACCAGTTGTTATACTGAACAAAAAGAAACAGCCACGAATAAGCAATCAAAGAAATGGAACTTTATGTTAGAAATCAAAGAAATGGAAGATGTATTTTTGTGTCTCACTTGATCAATAGCGAAAAGCACGGGAATATCTTTCACAAGCGATAATTCTTTTCTTAAACGAACTACCACCCCAACAGCTGCATGAGTGTGCTTGATTCCAGTATCAATTAAGTCATATAAAGTTGAACCCTCAGGCATCATCATGGAATCAGCACCTTTCTTCATCCCGACACCAACACCCTCTCCCAATGGTATAGGATCAGATAATTGACATGGCAGTTGTCTTAAGCGGGTCTCATTGTACTTCAGAAAATCCTGGTCAAAACCAGTCCGCCAATGAAAAATAAATATGTCAACTGTTTCAGCTTCACATATTATCCACAGTCCTCACTTGATCTCCAGAAAGCTAATCACAAAATAGTAAACACTATGCATGAAACATTTCCCAGTCAAATAAAGAATCATGATCACGAACATCATTTCCCTTGTCAAGATTCTCAATGGGGTGTGTAAGAATTAACATTTATCAATAGAATTAGAAAACAACCCCTTAAACTGGCATTTGATGCACATACAATGTTCATGACAAATGCACTAGAAGATCCTGAAAAACACACACACACACACGCACCCCATACTTCTAACTCTTAATTAGCAGGAAAAGGTCCTCACTCTCAGAACATCTTCAGCCTGAACGGGTGTATCCCAAAGTCCTGTTTCAGCGTTTTTAAAGAAGAATCCTCCATGAGTCCACCGACGCCCACTAGGAACATAAAAAACTAGCCAACCTTCATCGCGAGCCCAGTGAACAAGCATGGCGAGCGCAATACTCTTTCCACTATTGACCGGACCATCCAATACGATCTGTTTTCTAATTTTTGAACCTGAATGTTTGAATTGAAATAGCAGCAAGAAAAAACATGAATACATTTGCTCAACCCCCCCACCATCAAAGAAAAGATAGTAGAAGAAAAGCAATACCAGCCGGCGACAGCAATGAAGGATCAACCACACGCCTGAAATTGTCGCGAAGATCCAAAAAATTTTGCCGCACAAGCACAGCACTTCGCATAGAATCCTCGAACTCCTTGACCATTCCCAAAGGCAAACCCTCCGGCAGTACCTCATTTAGTCCTTCCATACTTCCATTTCGTAAAGAAACGAATAAATATTCCAATAAACAGTCACTCATAAACAATGTAGAAAACATACGTACTTAAATTTGAAATAAGTGCCTGCATCCTTGCGAGTGAGCTGTGACAGTGAAGATGCGGAGGTAAAGAGAGGGCGGCCATTTGGGCCAACGTCGAGTGAGTGATCATTTTCCTCGGCAGCAAGACGGCGGGCTCGAGATTTATCATCAAAAAGCGCCGCATCTGAGTCGTCGGAAGCAGCAGCGGAGGCAGAGGGATCATCGGTAGCTTTGCCGTCGCCCTTGGACTTGCCCTTCTTGGGCTCCTTCTTAACGGCGGATTTGGTTGTCTTAGCTGAGTAATTTGAAGTAAAAGATAGGATCGGAGAGGGATTCCGATTGTACGGCTGGTGTCTAGAGGCTGCGGCAGCGGCGGCTGCTGCTCTGAGAATTGATCGCAACATTTTCCGCCAGTCGGAGATGGGGACGAAGTTGAACGCGAGGTTTTGGGTTTTGCAACTATCGCTTATACGTCAAGCGGCGGCAGGGGTATAAGATGTCATTTTTCCATGTTTCAGGGTATAATGGTACTTTTCCATTTGTGGAAGACCGCACCCCAATGAAATTGGGCCTTTTGTTGGACCATGTGGCCCAAAATATAACGGCCCAATGATGGGTTGAGAGTGGTTTAATTTGAGTGAAATTATTATTTTCATTTATTTTTCAAATTCTTTAAATTTACCTATTCTTTTGTTTATATTAGGAATATTTATTTTACTTAAATTTTATTTTTTAAATAAATAATAATTTTAATGTCATTGGAATCCCGGTCATTCTTAAAAGATGCTAATGTGAAACCACGACAGCGAAAAACATTGTCATAATGTACGTACTATGTAGTTAGTATTGTAACCGTTTATTTATTAGTTAATCGCAAATGATTGTTCTTGTATCCTTATCTTTTGAAGTTCGAGCAAAAAAAAAAAAAAATATATATATATATATATATATATATATTTATTTATTTTTTTTTTTTTTTTTGTGACGTGGAGCAAAAATAGTGGCATGTAGAGTAGATTCAAATAAAAGATGACAAAAAGATAGTTAAAAAAAATGCATTATTGCAAAAGTTGGCATGCACGAATTAATACATATTTACGTGCTTTAATTAAAATTTACTACACTAACCCATATAAAACAAATTAGTGATGTTTTTTTTTTAGTTAAATTATAATTTTTTTTTTGTCAAAGTTTCGTATTTTTATAATCTAATTTTATGTCTAATAAAATCATAAAAATTCTGTTTTGTGTCGAGTAAATCTATAAATTTTAATAAATTTAAAATTTTAAAAACTAAATTTATAATTTTAACAATTTTGAGACTAAATAGTATAAATTTCAAATTAAGAAACGGTAAAATTTCAATCATAAAATCTCACTTTCGCTTCGAATAACTCTATAAATTTTATCCGTAAAAGTTTATTTATTTTAAACTAAGTGAATATATATATATAAGTTTTTTTTTTTTTTTTTTGGTTAATTATCAATCAAGTTTGCATGGTTTTAATTTTTTTTTTTTTCCTCACATTTTGTTCGTACATAAATTGAAATAACAAAATATTATTTATAAATTAAATTCTAAAAGCCTAAATAATTTCGTTTACTAAAAATGGAATAAAATTAAAATATATTTTTTAATTAATTTTTAATTCATATAATGAACATCAAAAAAATACATAAATAAAATCATGTGTCTATTTTGGTAATTTCAGCTAAACCACAATAATTCTATTTGGATTTATCAAAGTAAAAAAATAAAAAAATAAAAAAAAATAAAGAGACCCGACCACCTAATAAACCGTCCATTCATCTGTTCCAAAGGGCAACGTCAGCCTTGCGGCCGACCATTTACTTTTTCAAACACCAACTTTACCGACCAATAATTATTTAAATTATACTAAATTAATAAAAATATTTTTTTTTCAAAATTTTCAATAATGCTAAAAAGAAAAATATACATACTAATTATAAATATTTTGTTTAAACATATCTTCAAAGAATTTCATTTATACTCTTAATTTATTTTAAAAAAAATACTTCTAAAAATCATTAAACATTTTTAAAAATTTTAAAAATACTTTAAATTTTTTTTATTTAAATACGGTTACTAGTACCACATTTAAAAAAATATTCATAAATTTTTAAAAGTAATCTATAAGGTAAAAAAAAATTTATATTTTTTAAATATAGTCCTAATAAAGGGTATTTTTTTAAAAATTTAAAAATTTTTAAGAGTATTAATGAAATTTTTTAAAGTTTAAAAACATTTTTTAGCACTAATATTTTTTAAATAAATTACTAACAATTTCTATACAAAATTGAGTATTTTATATATATATATTTTATTAGTTTGAGTGTTTATTGAAAATTTTGAAATAAGTGTTTTTTTTTTTTAATTAATTTAGCCAAAACTTATTATGATATAAAAAAAAATCTAAATTTATATTTAAAATATTATGGTCGATCCATAATCATAGTCTCTAATGGAGTTATGGTGGATAACGACTTTGATTGAAGTAAAGAGGGAGATAAGAGGTAAAGATATGGGAAGGGTCGTGTAAGGGTATTTTGGTCCTTTTATATATAACGTAAAAATTTGGAAGATATTTCAAGATAAAAAAAAAATTAAAAATCTTTAGGAGTTGTTTAAATTACCTTTTAATGCAAGTGTCTTTCGAAAAGGCATTTTAACTTAAATATTTTTTTTACAAGACCTATTTATAATTAATCCACTCATATTTTTTATTACATTTTATAAAAGAGTATTTTATACATGGGTAAAGCCAAATCACTATATAACTAACAATTATTAAAAAAATTTAATAAATAAGTTTAATTTTATATTTAAAACACTATCGGTCGAACGTAGCTAAAGAGATTGTCAAGTGGTTGTTAGAGGTTGTCCTTGGGAGTACTGTTTTGTCATGGTCATACTTGTTCAAGGTATGTCTTTACTATTTCATATGGTGTCAATATGGGAGTGTATGACGGTTCACCAAAATTATGTCTATACACACCAACGCTAAAATGCCCAAAAATGTACTATAGGCAAATGCAACTAATCATCAATTCTTCTTATCTCGAGTTATATGATATTTAAGCCGTCGTGTTTTCTTTACTTACACCCATATAATTGTTTTCTATAATTCTTTCAAATTGTTTTCAAATATATTTTCTCGCTCACATTTTTTATAACACATCTCGTAAAACGTGACTCGATTCGAGCATATGCTGACGTTGTCCATGAAGTTCGAATTTCTCATAGTTGACTTGTTCTCTAAGTTATAACAAGTGCCGAACAATTGTTGTCCTGCTACTAATATAATATTAATTAGTTGAAGACATGGAATATAATCACGACTAGACCTAATGAATATAATCACTATAGAAATATAATAATAATAATAATAATAAACACCATGAACTTGGAAACAATATATATATTTTTTTTTTTCTATTTTTGTTTTATTATTGTCAAATTGACAAATCTTTAGAGCATAGAACCCTCTCGAACACATGCACTCCAACTCGTTATAAAAGGTCACCAAGGCGGAAAAAGTTTCAACTTTAATTCACTCCAACACTCGTTTTTCCGGCGAACATAATTCAACCGGCCTCCGGCAGCACTCGTCGGAAATACGAAACTGGCAAACTCAGAGTCGTCGTCGGAGCAGAACGAGATCAGCGTTGCGATAGTGACGGCACTTTACGAGGCGTTGAGTTCCAAAGACGTGGAGACGGTGCACCGCCTTCTGGCGCCGGACCTGGAGTGGTGGTTCCATGGTCCACCGTCGCACCAGTACTTGATGCGTCTCCTCACCGGCGTCTCCTCCTCTTCCTTCGTCTTCACACCCATCTCCATCGTCGCATTTGGGCCCACCGTCCTCGCTGAAGGCTACAACACGAAACGCGCCGTTTCATGGGTCCATGCCTGGACCATTACTGATGGGGTTATAACACATGTCAAGGAGTATCTTAACACTTCTGTTACTGTCAAGCGTTTCGTCACCGCCGCTGATGAGGAGTCGCCGTCGTCATCTCCGCCGTATGCGGAGGCGGATACCCTGATGACGACTAACTGCCAGAGTGTGTGGCAGAGCAAGGTGTGCGGCGAGTCGGTCCCTGGTCTTGTTTTGGCACTTCAGATGCATATGTTGTGAACCATGTAAATTTGTCTGTCTCAACTCCAACAACCTGCGCTGGTTTAGTACTCCTACGTTAATTTATAAAATAAAATGGTTTTATATACGATGTTCCAAATATATATATATTATATAGTTTATGAATTTGACTCGATATTCCACGTAGGTCGGAATAGCATGCAATTTAACTAAATAGTTCAACAACAAAAAAAAAAATGTAAAAAGAAATATATTCACTCGATGTGAAAACGTCATAAAATATAAAAATATAAAAACATTTAAGAGTGTTGCTCATGTTAGATAAAAATCTCACATCGGCTAATTTAGAGAATGATCATGGATTTATTATCAAAGAATGCTATCTACAGGATGATGCCTTTTGGGGAAACCCAAAGCGCTCAAAGTGGACAATATCGTACTATTGTAGAGAGTTGTGTTCATCTAACATGGTATTAAAGTCATGTCATTAAAATCCTAAAATGTCGAACAAAGTATTGTGAGTCTCGAAGACATAGTCAAAAAGTGATTAAAGTATCGAACAAAGGGTGTACTTTGTTCAAAACCTCTAAAAGAAGTCGAGCCTCGATTAAGGGAGACGTATTTTGTTCGAGGGGAGGTGTTGGATATTCTCTATTGGGATGAGACTTTTTGGGGAAGTCCAAACAATATCATACTATTGTAGAGAGTTGTCGTGTTCATCTAACAGCCCCATGATCAGTTTCGCTACCCTATTTATTGAAATGACTTTTAGGTAAGGATAAGGTCGTAGCACGGGAGTAACTAACAGAATTAGACACCAATATTAAATTCTCGACAATAAATAATAAAATAATCCTATCTCATGAAATTTTTTTGAAATTTGAAGAAGCTACTTAATATCGATTTTTGTACGTGAGTCATCCTTAATAAATAAAGGACTAAAAAGTGCATGGAGGAAGCTTCGTATAAACTTTTTGGTAGTTTATATAATGGAGTAAAATAATAAAAATATTCATATGATTTATTTATTTATTAAATATATTATACATAAAAAAAGGCATAATAACTTTAATTTATTTACTAATAAATAATTAAACTCCCTTGATTATAAATATATTAATGTCACCTTAATACTCCACTATGTAGCGTTATTGTCGCTAATGCAACAAATTGCTATAGGTGCGTAAACTCCCTAAAAGCAACAACATTTGTTTATCCTTAGTGTGTTGGTTGGTTTGATAATCCTATGTTAGTAGACATCATTCGTTCCTATATATTTAATTTGAAAAAAAGCGCTAGCCTAACTAGTTAGTATACTCTACCTATCAGTTATAAGATGTTATTAATAGGGTATCTGTATAAAGATTTGATCGGGAGTTCACATATTGACTGACCATCCTGAAAATATAGCTATGACTCGAACCACCACTTGACTTAACCCTACTCGAACATCCTAAAAATAGAGCTATAACTCGAATCACAACCTGACCCAACCCTACTCGACTATCCTGAAAATAGAGATATAACTTGGAACCACAACCTGGCCCAACCCTACTCTCTATCTTTGGGTAGGGTTGTGTTGTTGTGACCTTATTTTGTAGTTCCATTTTCAAAAAATTCAAACCAACCCAAAAAAATAGACCTAACCTAATCCAACTTTTATGATTTGGGTTGGGTTGGGGAGTCTAGATTTAGATTATTGGGTCATATGAACACCTCCCCTCCATCATGGTATGATGTTTTCTACTGTCCACTTTGAACATAAGCTCTCATGACGGTGTTTTAGGCTNCCCCAAAAGGCCTCATAACAACAAAGATAATGTTCCTTGATTATAAACCATGATCATTTTCTAAATTAGCGGACTTTCATCATCTAATACCTCCCCTCGAACAATGTACACCTCCCTTTAATCAAGGCTCGACTCTTTTTTCTTTTGGAGTCTTAGTCATTTTTTCTCCCCTTAATCGAGGCTTGACTTTTTTTTTTTTTTTTTTGAGTCTTAGTCATTTTTTACTATGCCTTCGAGGAGGCCCGTTACTTTTTTTTTTTTGAAGTCCTTTGTTCGATATTTGAGAATTTACCAATCTATTGACACAACTAAGTTTAAGGTATAGCTCTGATACCACGTTAGATGAACACGAATCTCACAATGATAGGTCCCTATGTGCGTTTTTTTTTTTACTTTCCAATATTATCGGGGTATATAAATACTAAGCAAAATTTTTAAATATTAGTATTTTTTACAAGGAATATCCTAAAAAAAAAGTTTGAATGACCCATTGACAAGCAACTCTTTTGGGCCTGGGTTGAATATTGGAGGCCCATTAGCAATTTTGCTATTCTAGGGCTCTATCCTGCTTCCGCCGAGTCTCCTTCGTCCTGTACATTCGAAGAACCAGATTTGTGTTCGGTGCTCCGTGATTCTCTGTAAGCCGAAGGCGCTGAACGCGAACGCGAACGCGAACCACCATGTTATTGGGGGATATACCACCTAACCAGACCATATACATTAAGAATCTCAATGAGAAGGTCAAGAAAGAAGGTGATTCTGTTCCCTTTTTGCTTATCCCTTGTGTAAATGATTTTTTCTCCTGTTCAATGAGTAGATAGCTTAGTGATTTGAACTGATCTGCGTGACATTTTATTATTTTCATTTCGCTTTCAGCTCAAAATTCAGCTACTGTCTTGCCTGTTTTTGGGCGAAGTTTTGCTTGTTTTTGTTACAGTTTTAAATATTTCTGATTGCCACACAGTGACTACTCGAGAATGTAGATATTACAGTTGAAATTTGGTTTTTAGGGTGAGGGACCTGATGACTTGAAATTTTAGTTTGGATAATCTGACGGCGTCTTGCTTTCCCGTGGCATTTTGGATTTTGTTTACTGTCTTGGTTGATTAGCCCTTTTTTTTATAACGATTTGGACTTTAGTTTTTGGGTTTTGAAAATTAAGCTGGTAAACACAACTTCCACATTGTTTTCTTTGTTTTTCCGTCTACTTATGTATGTTTTCGAAATTCAAGCTAAAATTTGTAAACTAAGAAAAATTAATTTTTAAAAGCTTGTTTTTTTTCTTGGAATTTGGCATGTATATTTGGAAAGATGAAGGCCATTATAAAGAAATGAAGAGAAAACAAGCACACTTTTCAAAAATCAAAAACTAAAAACCAAATGGTTAATCATACATGGCCTTAATGTTTAGTTCTTGACAATGTTGCATCGCATGTGAAGTGTGGGTTTCAAACCTATGGCTTCTTAATGTTCGGATTTGATGGTATACTGAATTTCTCCTGTTTGACAGAATTGAAGAGATCCCTCTATGCTTTGTTTTCTCAATATGGAAGGATCCTTGACGTTGTTGCCTTGAAGACACCGAGGCTTCGAGGGCAAGCATGGGTCGCATTTAGTGAAGTGACTGCAGCTAGCAATGCTGTGCGGCAGATGCAAAACTTCCCATTCTATGATAAACCTATGGTTCGTTTCTAGCTGATCACAATTTTTGAACTTGCTCTTCATAGTCTTTTTTTGGACTTTCATCTATGGGCTGTTCCAGTACGCTTCAAAGTTCTTTGGGTAACTGTGGATAGTTTGATGGTCAGGGACTTGAAGTAATCCTGAGTGTTATGTGAAGAGCGTCATGTGAATATCTATACACAACAACACTTAACATTATGACAGTTTAGCTGCTTTGCATATCCAAAATTATGTCTTTTATCTTTTTGAATATGTAGGTTTATTATATTGGCTATATGCCTTCTTTGATCATTTTGAGATCTTCATTTGCAACTCCTGTCTATTGACATTTCTTCTGTCAATGTATGCCATCATACTTATGTAGTGCTTAAAATGTTGTTGACACACTAAATCTTGATATTGATTGTAAACTATGCGAAGGGATTTTTTTTCTCATTTTTCTAACATACCACAGACGTATCCATAATTCTATTTGGTAGAAACAAGTATTGTTACTATCTTTTCTTCTAAAAAAATCAGTTAGTTTTTGTTTCATCTTGAAAATTTGTGTATTGTCTTGTTGCCCATTCATACAATTTTCTGATATTGGATATGTAGATGACTTTCTGTTGCCTATCCCAAAAGTTTGAAATGACTATTTTTCTTTTGTGCAGCGAATTCAATATGCCAAAACCAAATCAGATTGTGTTGCTAAAGCTGATGGAAGCTTTGTGCCAAGGGAGAAGAAAAAGAAGCAAGAGGAAAAAGGTGATTGTAACACCAAGTACTCTTTCTAAATTTCTTTTTGAACTTCGTGGTGGACATAATCTTGAAGTTGGCGGGGGGACAGTTATAATTAACCTATGAAACATTGTTTTAGGGAACTGGTTGGAAATAACCTCTCATTTTCCAATTGCATTGCTTTTAAGAAGTTGCGAGGTTTTTAAACTGTGTTCCTTATTATCTTTTAATTTGCATATCCAGCTGAGAGAAAGCGACGTACTGAAGAAACACACCAATCTGCGATGCCCAATGGAGCAACCGCTGAGAATGGAGGTTCAAATGTAAGTTTTCTTCACTTTTTTTTTTTTTTTTTTGCTTTCGTTTTTGTGATGTCAAATGGATATTTTTCTTCTTCATACGAGCTGTATTGTATTAATTGCTACTCTAGAAGTGGTCCTGAGCATTAATTGTATGAGTCTTTTTGGATGGCGTGGTTCTCTGGTTAGTTGTTTTTTCTTCTCATCAGTTTTTAAAGACATTGATGTCTATTTCAATTAGATTTCATGTTAGTACCCCTTAGATCAGGCAATGTTATTCAACTTTTTTTCACAATTACTTATGCTAAGAACGCCTCTTCATTGTGTGTAGGCCACATTCCGTCATGCAAATCCAAGCGCTCCAGAAGCTACTCCAAACAACATACTATTTATTGAGAATTTGCCTCATGAAACTTCGAGTATGATGTTGCAAGTCCTCTTCCAACAATATCCTGGATTCAGGGAAGTCCGAATGATCGAAGCAAAGCCGGGTATTGCATTTGTTGAGTTTGAAGATGATGTTCAATCCTCTATGGCCATGCAGGCTCTTCAAGGCTTTAAAATTGATCCCCAACATCCCATGGCTATCTCTTTTGCAAAGAAGTAACTCAACCTTTGTTCTACTCTTAGTTTTAGTAACATGCAGCGGGATTATGTTAATGTCGGAGCATATTAGTATGGGTCAGAAGTTTTTATGTAAAGTTCAGATATCCTTCCCCTCCGTTCAACGATAAAAGAGAACGAAAGAACTAAAACATTGGGATAGGCAGTCCACTGATTCCAAAGGATGAGGATATCAAACCAAGGGACTCAATGAGTTTGCCGGCTGTGTTCATTTCAGTTTCCAGCGGTAGCAAGAAAATAGTTTTATGTTAGGTTGTCAAAAAGGAAACAGAAAGAACCAATCAAAGACTTATTTCTAAATGTGTTCATGTACTACAGGGAGCTGTAATTCAGGAAAACAATGTTTGATTACATTTTTGCATGAATATTTCGTTCTTGACAATGAAGTGTTGATAAACATTTCTGTCAAAGTCTCAGGGACAGAGCTGCTTGGTGCGTGCATTATCTTCCACTGGTCGATTGTGAGCAAGATTTGACCCAAATTTAGTTTGAAAATTGTGTCCTTAACTGGTTCAAATGCGCAGCTATTGCTTGTTTTATCATTCTTAAATGTTGGGCCATCTTGATATTTTGTTTCATAGGGATCAGTGCTCCATCAAGTCTTGACTGCTGACCATCATCAGACTTTCAGTGCTGAATCTGACATTGCGTCTCTCTCTGGGCATATCCATTCAGATACATCCGACCACGTCGCCTGTAAGCTTCTTTTTTCTTGTCTTTTTCATATTCCTGCATATTCTCCATGAAATATTCAAAGATATTTAGAAACATCCATGATATGGATATAAATATTGATTAGGTAAAAAAGTTATGGCTGTTTTCTTCCGTCTTATTATTTTGTTGCAAACCCAATTCATTCCCATAAATTAGGCTGCCTTCCACATGGATTGTTTCATTGTTTTCTGTCTGTTCTCATGTTTTTTTAATCGAAGCAATAATGACGAAAGTTAGATGTTCCTCCAAGACGAATGAGACAACGAATGGATAAAGCTGAATAATTCTCTTTTCTTTATTTTAGGAGTATTTTAGCGCTCTTTTTGAAAATTGTAAAATTAATTAGATCTTAGAGAATTTTTGACTTGTGGCTTAGTTTATGTGGTCTGGAACTCTAAAAATTTCGAGTTTGACATGTTTGTGCGATACTGAGAATCTATCTAACTTCACTCTAGCTTTAGTTAAGATAGCATACTTTTTTAATCAAAAGGTAAAAATTAAACTTTTAAAGAAAAAGGAAAGTTTAGAGAATCTATTATAATGAACTGAGTTGTCTCGAACTTTATTATAATCCGTTTTGCATGGTTTGAACATTTTACCGAATGACAGACTATATCGACTTATTCTCTTCTCTGTAGGCAAATAGATGCTTGACTTTACAACTTTAAATTTATACAAACGTAACTTGTCAACACGTTGTGGATATGTTGACGATAAAAGGAATAAGGAATAATAAATGTGTGTCGTGTAAAAGAAGAGGAAATAAGAATAATGGTGCAAAATTCAAGCTGATCCAATGTGCAGTTTGCTTGCAAAGACCCCAACCAAAATCTTCTCAAATGGAAGCTCTTATTTTAAGCATGTGGATGATGTATATCCGTATGACCCAACAACATTCATGCCATATATATATATATATTTTTATAATTTTATTAATTTTTTTAAAAAAATCTAACCCTTTTTTTCCTGGCCACGTGGAACTTGGCTGCTCTCTTTTTTCTCCTTTCTCTCGTTGTCGTTTGGTTCTATAAGTGATGACGTCATAAATCCTCTTTTCACATTTTCTTCTCCCCCACCCAAAAGTTCCACGAAATTGACCTGGTTGGAGAGGAGAACAAAACGCCCTTACCCTTTATAAGGGCGTGAAAACCTTCTCCTAACAGACGCGTTTTAAAGCCTTGAGGGAAATCCCGAAAGGGAAAGCTCAAAAAGGATAATTTCTGCTAGCGGTGGATCTGGGTCGTTACAAATGGTGTCAGAGCTCGACACTAGACGATGTACCAGCCTCCTCGTTGTTCCCCGAACGGGGTAGACACGAGGCAGTGTACCAGTAAAATAGGGTTTATCACCCCTTCCGATTCTCAATTTTTAATATGAAAAAACTTTACGTATGAACTGAACCAAAAAAAATTTCAACTTCAACTAAAAAAACTTAACCCAACTCAATTTTTACAATTTGGGTTGAGTAGTCTGAGTTGTTCGAGTAATCAAATCTATTAAAAATAAATAAAAGAAATCAATAAATTCATGCAATGTATTCTCCAATAAAAATGTAAATCCCAATTTTGTTATAAATTTTCATTAATATTTGCATTATTCATGTTAATAATTATAGATAAGATTTATTATAAGCGTATGAACCTAATTAAGAGACGCCAAGTTGGACAAAATCTTTGTTAATATGAAAATATTAATAATTAGAGCTCTCAAACTTGAAAATTGTCCAAATATTTGTGAATATTATTGTAAAATACAACTCATTTTCATGCGAGCTTCATTAATATTCTTTTTTCCTATTTTAAAATAAATTAATATTCTTTTGTAATCTTTCTTTAAGAGTGGACTATTCCCAAAGTATTCAATTGAAGAACATCCCTTGGATTTTAACTTACTTAAAAAAAAAAAAAAAATCCAATTAAATTATTAATTTGATTCGTACCAATTTAGTCGTGTATTTGAATATATATTTTTAATTAAGCTTTAAACGTGCAGTGTTAGGGTTACGTATATTTATCATATATTCTAACCAATCTATGTATATTCAATTTTATAATTATTTTTTAAGTTTAACCCTACAGTGATGATTCAAACCTTTATGAATTTTGAGTTAGATACTTCCTTCGTATGTAGCAGATTTTCTAGCGTTTGCGTATGCTTCTCCTCTTGAAACATGCCCTACCTATCAACTCGATACCCTAATATGGCTCGTGTTGATATATGAAAATAGATTTTACTCTTAAAAACAGTTATAGATGTGTAAATAACGTAGCTATATTGCATAGAATGTTAAAGCCATCGAATGAGATCTTGATTCAAATTTTCAACAACTGGGTGTTACTCTAAATACGGAAAAACATATACTAGAGAAAAAAAAAATATATACTGAAAGGATTCGTGTTGGTCTATACCAATTTTAGACGGGTTAAGAATGAGGTGAAACATGAATGGAACACGACAACAAACAAGTGACATAAAGAGAGAAAAGGACCAATCTCTCTCTCTCTCTCTTAATTTGAGCAAGAAAAAAAGAAATGGAAAAAAAAATAAAGAAAATTAAGTCAGCCGCCATTCGGTCAAACCCACGAGTTTTGACCAAAACAGAGTCAACAATAGACTCGCCTTCCTGGAACCATCCTCTCCATCTTCTTCAATACCCTCTCTTCCTCTCCTTCTTAATCTTTCTCCTTCCGCCATTTCTCCTTTCAGTTTCCTCTGTTTCTCTCTGCTCTGTTCATTCATGGCCTCCTCTTCCGGGAGCTTAGACACCTCTGCTAATTCCCATCCTTCTTTCACTTTCTCCACTCATCCTTTCATGACTACTTCTTACTCCGACCTTCTCGCCGCCGGCAGCAACGATCTTCCATCCTCCGCCGCTGCCCACGGAGCTCACCGAGGCACTGGAACCGGAGTTCCTAAATTCAAATCCCTCCCTCCTCCTTCTCTGCCTCTGTCGCCACCTACTCTGTTTCCTTCTCCCCTGTTCTCCATTCCTCCTGGTTTGAGCCCCACCGAGCTTCTTGATTCGCCGGTTTTCCTCAGTGGTTCTTATGTAAGATTCCATTTTCTTTATGGGTTTTCGATTTTACTTAATGGGTCGGTCTTGTTATGATGAAATTCATGTTGATTTTAATGGGATTTGTTTTTTTTTTTTTTTTTTTTTTTTTTTTTTTTTTTTTTTTTTTTTTTTTTTTTTTTTTTTTTTTTTTTTTTTTTTTTTTTTTTTGTGTTTTGTGTTCAGGTTCTGCCGTCGCCGACCACTGGGAGTTTCCCGTCGCAGTCGTTGAATTGGAAGAACAATTCTGGGTGTAATCAACAGAGCATCAAAGAAGAGAACAAATTCTTGTCGGAATTCTCATTTCTAAATCAATCGTCTCAGCCACCGACATCTTTTCAGCCAGCTCCGACGGTACGTTAGATCGAAACAGAGGACTCTGTTTTCTTTTTCAAAATTTGAATTGTTCATTTAGTTAAATCTCTGAATCTTTTGTTTTTGAATATAGACTCAAGGAAAGAAACAGGACGGATCGATGCAGAGCTTCTCACCGGAATATGGGATTGTTCAAAACCAGAGCCAGAACAACGCCGGCAGAGATTACCCTCAACAATCTCAGACGGTGAATCGGAGATCCGACGACGGTTACAACTGGAGAAAATACGGCCAAAAACAGGTCAAGGGAAGTGAAAATCCGAGAAGCTATTACAAGTGCACCTTCCCCAATTGCCCAACAAAGAAAAAGGTCGAAAGATCCTTAGATGGACAGATCACGGAGATCGTTTACAAAGGCGGCCATAACCACCCGAAGCCACAGTCAACGAGGAAGTCATCGTTGTCGTCCGCCGTGTCGGCGTCAAATCCAGCCGCCAACGATATGGCGGAGCAGTCATTCACAACCCAAGGAAGCGGTCAAGTCGACGGCGTTGCAACGCCGGAGAATTCATTGATCTCGGTCGGCGACGATGACTTCGATCGGAGCTCTCAGAGGAGCAAATCTGCAGGAGACGATAACGACGAGGACGAACCAGAGGCCAAGAGGTGGTGAGTGGAGCTAAACCCAATACTCTGGTTTTGCTAAATGACTCTGTTTTTGTGTTTTGTATACTAAGAAGAATTTGGTTATGGATCTTCAGGAGAAGGGATGGTGATAACAGTGAAGGGATTTCAGCTGCAGGTAACCGGACCGTGAGAGAGCCGAGAGTCGTTGTTCAAACCACCAGCGACATCGACATTCTCGACGACGGTTACCGGTGGAGGAAGTACGGCCAAAAAGTGGTTAAGGGAAACCCAAATCCAAGGTAAATAAACTATTAATCCTGTGAAGTTACCGTTTTTTTTTATTTGTTAAGAACGAGAAAGCGACATATATTTCATAATTAATTGCAGGAGTTATTACAAATGTACAAACCCGGGATGTCCAGTAAGAAAGCATGTAGAGAGAGCCTCACATGATCTACGAGCAGTGATCACAACCTACGAAGGCAAACACAACCACGAAGTCCCACCGGCACGCGGCAGCGGAAGCCATTCCCTCAGCCGTCCATTTCCCAGCAATGACCCGTCGGCCACCGCAATCCGCCCATTGGCGGTGACCCATCAAGCAAACAACGGCGCTGACAACAACGACGACAACCTTCTTCATGGTATGAGGCTACAACAATCTTCGGACAACCAAACACCATTCACACTAGAAATGGTGCAAACTCCAAATGGATTTTCATTCCCAGAATTTTGGAACTCCATTGGGATGGGGTCCTACATGAATCCAACACAATCCAACGACAATACGTTCATTAGAGCAAAAGAAGAGCCGAGAGATCACGATATGTTCATCCAATCTCACCTATGTTGATTGAGACAAGGAATTTTCATGGGATTTCTTCAAATTAGACAAAACTTGAGATCCAACCAAGAAAAAACAGACAGAAAAATAAGGTTCATTCATTTTTTTTTTTTTTTTTTATGTATATTTTTTCATAGGATTGGTTGGTTTTTTTTAATGTTTTTTTTTTGTTATAGTGAGCCACATATTACAATTATATCTTAATTATTATTTTCTATTCTAATTTTTGTCGAAGAACTTCATTTTTATTATTTATTATTGTTTTATTCTAAATTTGAATATAAAATTTAATAGAAATTCATAAATTTTGTTCAAGTTTTTTTTTATTTAAAAAAATCAATTAGAGGAAGAGATAGATACGTGGACGGGGTTGTTGAGAGGTCTATAGAAGGGGAGTCATTGCTGACGTAAGCATGATGTTTGAACGAGTCAAAGAAAGCGGCCGTGATTACGTGGCGGAGAAGTCAACTTTGGTGGAATTAAGGAGTAAATGACCATTTTAACCCGATTTCCCACAGAGGGTATTTTGGTAAAATAGAGTAAGAAGATTGGGTCGTGAATGACACGGAGTAAATTGGGAAGACAGGAATGACACTTGGCAGAAGCTTATTGGAGGATGGGAGTTTGTTCAACAACCGACTTGTCGTAACCAATTTAGCATTGATTGTATGTGGGGTATTCCTAATCACTCCGTTCACACCCCGACGGTACAATTTAGATTAAGATTTCATTTAAAAAATAACTATTTAATTTTTGTTGCCAATCATATAAATAAATTTAATATAATGATAAGTGAAGGTACCTGTTGTTAGAATCCCACAACAACACATACTCGATCTAGATGAAGATCACTAAGAACAAGAGAGAAAAATGTAAGAAGATCACCAATGTGGAAGATCGTTGATAGTCCGTGGTGCCTGATCTGGTTCCTCTCGTGCTTCTAGTTCACTCTATACTCCCCTTAGGATACAAATATTGTTCATGTTCTCCACACCCACATCCGTAAGAATGTGATGATGAGGGATTAACATCAAATGCATTATACGGTGGTGTACATAAAATTATCACGAACCACGAGTCAATATCATCTTATGATGGGACACATCTCTTCGACATCATTTAGTATAACTTGGAACAACTGCTCCTCTACTAGAATGTACTCCTGTTGAGCATGCCTTCTACATCAAGTACCACGATGAAAACTAATAGGGAGGTTATACATATTTCAATTTTCTCGAGACGAACTCTTCAGACGATGACAATATTTAATCATGCCACTTGACCATAAGACGTTCTCTCGAGTGATGTAGCACCTAGTAATATTCCAATACCAATCCGTAAATTGGAGTTTAAGACATCAACTAGAGCATCAATTATATAAAAAATCGGAACAACAAACGAACATTTTTTAGGCTCGAGCCAGAGAGCTAATACAAAAGACCACCAAACTCGTTAATGATTCTTAACCGTTCACACATTATGTCAACTTTGTTTTTACATAAAACGACTCAAAATACCACGTGCTCTCTTAACAAACACATATCGAGTTTAAGGAGATCAAACGTGTAACTATATGCATAGCTGACCTATGCAAAATCAGGTGCGTCTCTCCCCCTTCTTTTGGACGAATCTACACCAACATTCTTTTTCCAACTAACATAGAACACATTGCATCTGTTTATCAATTTGAAACAGGTCGTGGATGGATTTTAACAGCCCTACTTATAGAACGAGCGCGGATTAAGTTAGAACCAAACATATGGAAAATTTGAAGTTGGCAAAGGGAAAATACGTGGTTTAGAATGATTAAACCCAATTAACCACAGATTATTGAAGCAATTTTGCAATACAAACAGATACTTTAAACGTCATGAAGGCTAAAAAATGAGTACTCAAGTAGCTCATAATGGAAGCTGGGTATGCCAGCCTAATTCCAATTACCAATCATGAGGCATCTTCTTTGGCGACACCCCTTTCTCCTATGGAAGCTCCATTCTTCTTGCTCAACTTTCTCTCTCCTCCCTTCTTACCTCTCTTTTACCATGCATTCTCACTCCTCTGGGCGAAAGCTCGTTCATTTCTCAAATGCTGGTAACTTCACGAACAAACTCAATCTTTTATGTTCTTTGATTTTGATATCTAGGTTTTGTTTGTAGGTCGGTCTCATGCTCGGGCCGTCGTTTTACCGCGGCGATAGTCCGACTTTGGAGGCAATATTTCCATTCAAAAGCTTCTACTTTTCCGAAACGTTTGCGTTCTTCGGGTGCTTAGTGTTCATGTTTCTCGTTGGAGTTAAAATGGATTTAACCATAATTCAAAGAACGGGAAGAAAGGCTATGGTGATTGGAGTTTTAGCGTTTATATCGCCATTGTTTATCAACTTCACATTAGCATCATATTTAAAGAATTCGATCGACATGGACTTACAATTGAAAAAAATCCCTCACCGTGATTGGAGTGTTTCAAGCCTCGAGTTCTTTTCATGTTATCGCTTGTTATTTAGCCGATACCAATCTTCTAAACTCCGATATCGGTCGTCTTGCTCTCTCGTCTTCGATGATTAGTGGGATGTTGAGTTGGATTGCATCGGTTGTCGGGTTCATGGTGCAACAAACGTCAAACCGATAACAAGATGCATTGCCATGGATTGCTCTTTGCATTGTTTGCATGATTATTCTTGTGATTTACATTTTGCGGCCTATTATGTTATGGATCATTGAACAAACTAATAACTCCGGGAGAGTCATCAAAGAAGACTACGTGCTTTTGGTGTTTTTAATGTTGTTGTTTTGTGCTTTGTTTAGTGAGTTTGTCGGACAGCATTTTATGTTGGGGCCGATGATTCTTGGGCTGGCTGTGCCTGATGGGCCGCCACTTGGCACGGCGTTGGTGGATAAACTTGACTCCTCCATTATGCTGCCGTGCTACTTTGTGATAAGTGGGGCTAAGATCAATCTTTCGGAGATAAATATGAGGAGCGCTTGGATTGTTCAAGTGTTGGCGTTAGGGAGCTTTCTAGGGAAGTCGATTGGGACCGTGCTGCCTTCTTTGTATTGCAAAATGCCTTTGGTTGATTCGTTATCGCTCGGACTCATCATGAGCACGCAAGGCATCGCCGATATTCTCGTTCTCCAACATGCCATGCTCCTCTTTGTAACTCTCTCACGACTGCCCTCTTCGTTAAATTAATAAAAGTATCGTTAGTACCACATTTCAAAGTTGTACAGATGATAGATCAGAAATCGTATGCTATGATAGTGGTAGCGATGATGGTAGTAACAGGGACGATATCACCAATAGTGAAAATTATATACATCCCATCAAAGAAATACAAATCGAGTATCAGGAGGAGGACGACAATCAAGCATGCTAGACCTAGCGGGGAGCTGCGGTTGTTGGTTTGTATCCACCACCATGACAACACTCCCTCCATAATCAACTTGCTTGAGGTCTCCAATCCCACCCTCAAAAGCCCTATCTACTTCTACCTTCTCCATCTCATCCAACTCACGGGTCGAGCCTCTCCACTCTTTATCGATCATCACAATGGTAGTCATCATGACTCCCAACGTTTCGATCCAATTGTCAACGCCTTCCAAATCTACCAGAAAAACAATTACGATAAAGTTGTTTAATTTATCATGACCCATCAACATATATTTTTTAATTCGATTTTGACTCGACGTTAATTATCTAATGTTGTTTTCTATTCGGGTGTGATTAGGTTTCAATGAATGCCTTCACATCCATAGCTCCCTACGTTAGTATGCACGACGATGTGTGTATGTTAGCGTGGGAGAAACGGGTGGCAATGGTGATTGTACCGTTTCACGAGTGGAGGACGATGAATGGTATTGTGGAATCGATGAATCAAATAAGGGGAGTGAACAAGAATATTTTGTCAAAGGATCCTTGTTCGGTTGGGATCTTGATTGATCGTGTGAGCTTGCAGAGCACGGCGACGATGTCGATGATGAATAGAGCAGATTGTTGGAAAAAGGGATAGTGAAAGATATAAGAATAGATAGAATAAATGAATGCTGCAGTGCTTTATTATTGTCTACTGACTTGATGCTTAGAGGGTTACACAATTCCCATATTTATAGCTTATACACTTACTAGAAACATTCAAATCTAGAAACATTCAAATCTACTAACCATCTCCTAAAATCTCCTAAAATCTTGGTAGTTTGAATATTTGAATCATATCTCAATTACTCTGAATCATATTTTTTTGAATACTTTGAATCATATCTTAACACTCTCCCTTGATTCAAAGTCGCAAATGCCAAGTAATCGTCTGAAGTAGCAAAACTTTTCTTTTGACAAAGCCTTGGTAAGTATGTTTGCTAGCAATATTTCAAGACAATTTCTTCGGTTGCAACAAGATCACGAATATAGTGATGTCGAAGTTCAATATGTTTTGTTCTACTGTGAAACATTGGGTTCTTTATCATAGAAATAGTTGCTTTATTATCACAAAATATCTTTGTTGCCCCTTTTTTCTCTTGTTGAAGATAAGCTAACATTCTTCTTAGCCAAATAGCTTAACACGCTGCTGAAGTTGCTGCAACATATTCTGCTTCTGACGTTGACAACAACACTGTTGCTTGCTTCTTTGAGCTCCAAGTGATCGCTCCTGACCCTAAAGTGAAAACATTGGCTGAAATGCTTCGTCTATCATCTAATGATCCTGCCCAATCACTATCAGTGAATCAATATAGTTTGAAATTAGAGGATTTAGAATACCAAATTCCATACTCCATAGTTCCGGCAATGTAACGTAAGACTCTTTTTGCTGCTCCATAATGAACCTTTGAAGGATGTTGCATAAACTTAGAAATAATACCAACCAGAAATGCAATGTCGGGTCGTGTGTGAGTTAAATAAATTAATCCGCCAACTAAGCTCCTGAACTTTCTAGCATTTGTCATTTCTGCTTCATCATCATGTTGTAATTTCTCATTAATATTCATAGGTGTAGCTGCAGGCTTACAATTAAGCATACCAAATTTACTCATAATATCTTTGACAT